TTCACACTGGCTCACTGAGCGGCATACAAAGGGCCTCAGGCAGCTCCGCCGTGCCCGGGGCCACTCCTCCTCTCCCAGCAACAGGGCAGGCTGAGGCTGAGCCCGCCTGGCCGCGCCTGAAGCTGCAGTCAGCCAGCAGCTGCCCAGGACTGCCCGCCCTTCCTGAGCGACCAGAACCCAGTGGACCCTCCTCCCTTGGAAGCAGGAGGGGTGCCTGCAGCCTCCACTTTCAGGTGCGACTTCCAAGCGTCGCTTCTCGGCTTTGCTGCTCCCACTCGGGTTGTTTCCATAGTGTGATGCGCTGACTCCCAAACGCCCTCGGGAGGGTGTGAGTGTGGACTCAAGCATGCGCCTCGTTAGCTTGAGAGGAGAAGTCCGGACATGTCCTGCCAAGTGCCGACCCCATCCCCAGGGCCCTGCCCCCGAGGCCCTGCTCCCTGCGAGCTGGGCTCCGTGGGGGCAGCCGACTCGGTCCCTGCTCCTGTCCAACCCCACCTGCGCGAGTTCTGTCCCCCACCTTTGCCCCAGAGCCTGCGCCCAGGGGCCTCGCAGCCCATCCTCACACAGGCCTGTCCCCTCCGGTGGGGATGGGGGCCCTGCTGTCCAGGCTCGCCGCACGGCGAGGAGGCAGCGCAGGGCCCCCACTAGCTGGCAGGCGGGGGCTGCGGTGGGTGACCTCACCTCCCTCCCTTGGCGGCAACAGCAGCACCGTGGGCCTGTGAGAACACAGGTGAAGCGAGAGAACGTGCACCCCAGACCCTGAGGTGTGCACCCCGCCCCACCCCACACGCCAGCACACGCCCCTTCCCGGGAAGCCCAGAGCCACAGGCTGGGTTAGGACCGACCTCACTGCCCCAGGCAGAGCCAGCCTGCACACTGGTCCTCAGGGGCTGAAAATAGCTTGAGAGCCTAGCTCGGTTAATAGAATATCCAGGTTAATTTTAGAATCAGAGAGCTCCAGAGAATATAAAACCCCCGACGCCAAGAACCGTGTGTGGCCAGCACAGCCCCTCCTCCCACTCTCTCTCTCTCTCTCTCTCTCTCTCTCACACACACACACACACACACACACACACACTGTGACATCACCCGTCATGTTCACAGACCATGTCCTCCGACTGAGCCCTGTGAAGCCCTTCTATTAAAAACCATTTCAAATTACAAGCCCTCATCTGAGCCTCGCAGACCCTGTGATGGGCATACCACTGCTTCCCACGGTGGAAATCAGGTTGACAGTCACTCTCAGACCTGGAATCCTGAACTCTCAACCCCTGGGGCCCAGGGCTTCTTTGCCAGGCCACCCAGGGTCCCTCCCTGCCCCCTCCTGGCCCAAGGGGCCTCCTGCTTCTGGGAGGGCGTATTTGCCAGCGGGCAGGCCCACAGCCAACCAAGGAGGCGCGGAGGTCCCCTGCTGCGTGCGTGCTGCGCCCAGGCCGCCCTTGCCCTTGGCGGTGACAGGGCCTCGGCTGTCACCGAGATGGGAGACGGAGAAGGAACAGGGGCGGGCGCTCTGAGCGCCGGGCAGAAGGGGGCCACTTCTGGACCCAAGAAGGAAGGCCTTCCTGTGGCCTCACTCAGGACTCACCACAGATCCTAGATGCCCTCAAACCTGACACTCACCACAGTTCCCAGATGCCCTCAAACCCAAAACAGTCCAACCACAGGCTGGGCTAAGGGGGCTTTTCTTATCCTCAAGTGCAAGGCCAGGATTATCTGTTTTCTAGCTTGAGAGAAACCCCTCTGTATTGCTCTTAACTGAACACATTTATTGAGACGACACTTTTAAAAACAAGGAGTAACTGTCATGGAAAAGGGAAACATCACTGGAAAGTAAAGTCGTGTCATAAGTCCTAGAGGAGTGCCAGGTACAAACGACAGCGCGGGGCAGGGGGGCTCCCGATGGGGGTCGGCACCCATCCTGCCTGAAGTCGCTTCCCTCCCAGGGCTAAAGCCCTGACTCACGGAAAGTCAGCAGAGCACACTTCCTCAAAGTAGCCTCATAGGAAGTGTGCGCAGTCTCACTGACATGAGACACTGCTGTTACCAAAGATAGACCATGGGTAAGACAGCCAAGTGTGCAGGAGAACCATCCAAAATAACTGCGAGATTTAAGTGGGGAAAGACACAGGTTCTTTAAGACAAGGACTCGAAATAGTTACAATAAAAATACCTTACTTTTCCCCAGCACTTTCTTATGTATTATCTCATTTGCAAAAGGTGGAAGGAAAAAGAAAGGGGAAGAGGAAAAAAGGAAGAGATTCTTCCCATTTTCCCCAGAGTTAGCCTCTCAATGACCAAGTACCACCACATATTCCAGACTGAGGACTACAGCTCCACCCCGAAAAGCTCTTCAGCTCCCCAAAACATTCTGCCTTTCCTCTCAGCACTAGGAAAAGTGATGTTGCTGACGGTGTAACTGGAGGGAGAATTCCTCAGTCTCTTTTTGCGGGGGCGGGGGTGGGGTAGGGAAGCTCCCACAGGATGCTGCAGACAATGACTGTCGGCATTTTGCAAATGGAAAAATGAGGCCATGAAGTGGCGGGGGCGGGGGGGCTTGCCCGGCTTCTTCCAGCCAGCAGGCCACCAGCAGACACGGGCATGCTGCCAGCCAGCCCCAAGACAGGGCTCAGTATGAATGGCAGATCGGCCAGGGTCACCCAGAGCCAGGAGGCGGGTGTGCCTGTGCCGCCTGCGTAGCCGCCCCTCCTCCGGGTCAATGCTGGTGTCCCTCCTCATGGGCCTGCCTCCATGGCCCAGCACTCAGGCAAGTCAGAGTCAAGACTGGCCACAGCAGGGGAAGCAGGAAAGAAGTGGAAAGCTCGGGGCACCACCCGCCAGGCCCTCCTACTCACAGTGGAACAAGACTAAGCCCCTTGACCAGCTCCCGCACTGGTTTGAAGTCGCGGCAAGGCCCAGACCGCCTCTTTGCTCCAGCACAGGAGGAGGCCCTACCTGTGCTCTGCAGAGGCCCTTGCTCCCTGCAAGCCCCAGCGACAAAGGTGGGACAACCCTACACGGCGGGTGAAGACCCTCAAAGGCAGGAGAAGGCAGGAGCTTCTGAGAACTGAAACCATGCCCAGGGATCTGGACCACCATGGACAGGCGTTTCTGCTCATCCTGTCTGCTGCAGTCCCCAAACATCAGGGAGGGGTCTCCAACAGCTCTAATAATACCAGCCCCCACGTGGGTTGGAGCAGCAGATGCTCACTGGCTGCACTAATCCCCACTGAGCCGGGCGCTCCTCTCACTTGTTTAAATGACACACACAAAGGAGACAAAGCCTAACCAGGCAGCATTTCCAAGCCCCTTCCCTCCAGGCCTGGCCCATCTGTGTGGGGCCAGAGCCTCCCCGAGGGCGTCCCGCCAGGCCAGCAGAGTTCCTCTCCTGGGCCTGCGGGGGCCTGCTCGCCCTCTGCTTCTCAGACTGGGCCATTCTGGAAAGAAATCAATTTTCTCGGCTCCCTGACACAAGTGCAGGCTGGCCGTGCGGGGCTTGAACTCCCAAGTCCCCAGACGCCCTCCTGCCTGCTGCACCCAGAAGCCTGGCACGCCCCCGCGGCTGTGCCCCACCCCTTCCTGTCCCCTGATTAAGGAAGCAGCTGAAGGCCTCTGGTGTGAACCCCCCTCACGCTCACTGGCCCTGGCCCTGAGGCAGGGCACTTTCCCTGCCTCACTTCAGGCGGAGGGCCATGCTGAACCTCTCGGCAGAAAGGGACAGCAAATTCCAACCAAGTAAACAAGAGAAACCCTCTCCAGGCACGCTCCTCAGGGCTGAAGTGTGGCCCCATCCAATCTGCAGTGCTTCTGAGCCAAATATCAACAGCGTCTTAGCGATGATCCATAAACCAAAATAAAGCAGACAGGAAACAACACGCTGATTTGGGGTGGCTGGAATTCCTAAGCAGCATCAGATGTCATCAACAACTGACGCTCCAGCAGTCACTGTGGGCCTGGCATGGTTCCCAGAGGCCCTTTTTCACATGGGAATGTGGAGGACCCCGGGGTTCAATGAGCAAGAAGGACCCTGAGAGGGCAGCTCTTGTGGGCCTTAGAAGCTCTCTCCAGCGGGAGCTCTCCTCTCAGCTGGCACGCCGATGGCAATGACGGGTAACGGTCACTCCAGGCACCGGTCTTGTTTTGGGGGAGCTTGTACATCACCCTTCCCAGTCAGAAAAAGCAAGTCTCTCCACATAAACCCAGGAAGTCCAGACACAGCCTCCCAGCCCCTCCCCCAGCTCCTGGGTCCAGTGAGAGCGGCCGGCGGCTCTGGGGACGCGACCTGAATGGCAGGCCCTGGTGGCCAAGAGCTCCCTCCGCCAGTTCTCAATGGAAGGGGGAGGGGGTGGCTGTCCTGGCGCCCTGCCCTGAGAGAGCCCTGGGCCAGAGCGCCGGCACACAGTCACAGGCAGACACACACACAGACACATCCACCTACACAGCCGCCCGCACACCCAGGCTCCGGTCAGCCACCCGCTCGGCCCCTCGGCCCGGAGGGAAGGTGCAAGAGCTCCCACGTCCCCAGCAAAGCAAGTGTCTGGGTGCCGCACTCAGCGAGGCGCGGAACCCCAAGCTGGGTGTTTCTGGCACCTAAAATTCTCGCATCCGGAGAGCCCCGGTGCGCGCGCTCGTGCACACGCAGATACGCAGTCCCTGGGGACCGGACCCAGGTCCGGCGGAGCACCTCCCCCTGCTGCAGTCGACCCTGCCTCCGGGAACTAGGGGACGCCAGAGGCAGGGAGCTGAGTCCCCCAGGGCCACCGGCCCCCTCGGCCCAGCCCGCCCTCGGAGCAGGCGGGGAGAGGGCCGCCGCTGGGCGTCTCTGGTGCTGGGGAGGGGGCCGCGGCTAGGCTCTCCCGGGGTGAGGAGGGGGCCGCAACCGGGGAGCGCGCATCGCCGGGAGGCGCCAGGGCCGCAGACCCCAGCTAAGGGGTTGGGGACCGGGGGAGCCCGCCGCGAGGCCCCCGAAGACTCCGCCGCCCCGCCTGTTCCTGGGAGCTCACCGATCTTGATCTTCACGCTCTGGAAGACCCGGAGCCCCTCTTCCTCCACCGCCATGCTGGGTCCGCCGGGATCCGCGAGCCGAGCCCCGCGGAGCAGCCGGAGCCGGAGCGGCGGCGCAGTCCCCGCGCTCCGGGCCAGACCCCGCGCCCGCGCGCCCGCTGCGCTCCGCCTCCGGCCCCGCCCACACCCCGCCCATTGGCCGGGGAAGCTGGCGGGGGCGGGGAGGCCACGCCCCCTGCCCCCGGTCGCCCAAAGCCCGCCGCGGGGCGGAGGCGTCACCGTCCGGCCAACGGCACGATCCCAGCCTCCCATTGGTTCAGGGCGAGGAGGGCGGGGAGGAGGGCTCCGCCCACATCCCAGGCCCGAGGGGCAGGTTCTGTATCCGCGAAGCATCCCAGGGACCGCACCGGACTCCTGGCCGGGCAGGGAGGAACCGGCGGGGAGTGCGGGGTACAGGCCGGCGGCGGGAGCAGGAAGGGAGTGCATTGGGAAGCAACCGGAGGGGCGACCGGGCTGGTTGCTGCAGGGGAACCAGGCCGAACAGCCGGGTGTGCGGGGGACGGCGAGTGCTGGGTGTGGGGACCAGGCGGGGGCGTGGGAGGGAAGACACGTGCATAGGGATTTAAGAAACGCAGAGCTAAAGATGGAAAAGGAAAAGAATTCCCTGGCCCAGCTCAGCCCCCTCAGAGTAGGCGCTGCAGGGGACCTGGGATCTGGAGGAGCGGGCAGACCTGGTGAGACCCAGTCCCTCCAGCTGCCAACCTGCTGGTCCCGGACCTCGGCCACCCTGGCTCCTAGCTTCTCACAAGGCCAAGTGCACTCCTGTCTGCCCTCCTGCCTCCAGGCTACCATCCTCAGAGCATCTTCTGTGTCTACTAACTTCACATCCTCTTCCCTTCCTCTGGCTTCAGAGCGGCCAGCACCACACAAGCACATACACACACCAGAATACAAGCATAATAAAGAGAGAGGCCTGTTCTCTTTGTTACTTTTCCTCACTTCCTTAAGGAAATGTTAATGTGTGTATTGAGAAAAGTTAATGACCCTCTTCACCCAGACTACTCGAGCCTCCTTCCAGGTCCTCTGTCATCTCCTGGAGTTTATCTTCTCAAGACCTTCACAGGAGGTGTTTACTGGGGTTTAACAGGAAGGTTAGGGCAGCAGCCCCTCCTTGGTCCACCCCGCAGTGAGAGCTGCTGCACCCTACTCCAGACCTTGGGGGCTCCTGCAGTAAGCCAGCCTTCTTTTGATCTGACCTGGGAGGGCTTTGCCTCCGTCTGGGGAACTGGAAAGCATCCCCAGCTCCCAAGTTTCTCAGAGGATCTGCTTGAGCCCCGGGAGTAGATGCCTTGATGACAAGCTGCTCCCCAATGCAGTCTTCCTTCCCTGACTCCCTCTCAGGACTCGCCTTCTGAGAACACTTCCAAAAAAGGCCTGCACACTCCGATCTCTGCTTCAGAGTCTGTTTCCAGAGAAACCAGCATAAGACAGTTGGGGCCAGGAGTGTTCTAGGAGTGGACTCTGTGATGGGGTTTGAGAGCTAGGAGCCCCCTACCTGCCAGTGACTGTGGCCGAGCTGAGCATGGGGGGGAGCGCAGTGGATGCGGTGTTTCAGGCACTAGGGAGGTTGGGAAAAGCAGGAATCACCTGGGCTTTGGAACCAGAGGGTTCTTGCTGAGGTCAAGGTAATGAGAAGATCACCCATTTAAGGAAAATGTGACGAAAAGGTTTCTTTGCCACCATATAACTCTTCTACAGCCAGAGAACCGAAAAAAAAGCTGTGGATCAGAGTGAGGACTTAATCACAAAAGTCGCAGTGCTCCAGGTCCACCTGCAGGCCCAACCCAAGGAAGGTTGCTGTGACCCAGAGGTTTGGGGGAGTGTCATCTGGATTAATGCACTCAGAACCTTGAATCCCAGCCTTCCTAAATCTTTTGCACTTGAAGAGGTGTGCCCCTTCCCCTGTCACAGGCGAATACACCCTCTGTGCTTGGAGATGATTGTGGGACGGTGCCTGTGCTGTGCATCCATCTCCACTCCCCAGCACAGCAGCATCTCCCAGCTGGGAAAGTGCTGGATCTGCAAACATGGGAAACATGCTGGAGGGACTGGGGGAGCAAAATCAAGAGCAGAGCCAAAGAACGCTGGACCCAGGAAAGGACTGCCATCACGGGAGACCCCTGTGTTAGAGTCCCCTGACACAGCATCACTGAACCATGATACAGGATTCAGCACCCTGGCCAGGACCCCAGACCACTTGTAGCGCCTTTGCAAGCTTGTAAAGAGCAGCATCCCACATGAAGTGAAGTGGAAATGCCCAATGGTTGTGGCAGACAGCTGAGGACAGCATCTTGGTGCTTAGAGATGTGGAACAGGAGAGGAAATAAGCTCCAGGAGCCCAGAAAACCTAGTCAGTGCCTAGGAAAGCCCAGGAGACCTTCCATTTCCAAACGCGTTGAGGGCCGTGCTGGCTGTGCAGGACGGGGTGGAGGGCAGAGACGTCGTTACAGGGAGCACTGGGCTCCCTAATAGCAGCGAGCATGGCGAGGCAGTGACACGATACAGGCCAGATGGCGACTTTAACTTCAGAAGTAACTGGGGGCAGTTACTTTAACGAGACTGCAGTGGCGGCCCTGACGTGCTGAGCTGGAAGAACCACAGTGACGGTCAGTCGGACACGGCATCAGGGGCAGGACAGAAGCCAGCCAGCCGGAGAACTACGCAGTGTACGCAACCAGATAAAGCTGAAGACAGAGCTCGGGGGCCCAGGAAAGTCAGTGAAATGTCACAGCCCCTTACCCAGCGTCCAGGCGTGAGCCCGTTCTCATCCCAGGGACTGCTGACTTGAGGAGAGGACTCCATCCCCCGGGACTTCCCCTAGAGGGGCCTGTGGCCTTTTATGCCAGTAATTCCACTTGGAGAGGGAAACACCTAGACATTTGAAGAGTTGCTGAGCTGGGTTCTGAGTTGAAAGATCGTCACACCCCTGTTAGAGTGAAGTCTGTGAGGTCCAGGATAACATGGAGCCTGGGGCCAGGAGCAGCTTGCAGCGAGCCCCCAGGCGATCATTTCCCCACACGACAGATGAGGGACTGGTAGGGATGTTTGTGACAGTTGTCAGAGCACCCACCTTGGTTCCTTGTTGTGCGGGTTAAGAGCTATCCCAGCAAGAAGGCCAAGATGAGAGATAAAAAATTATGACACATGCTGGAGGGAACACGGGGATCAAGACACGGAGAAAAGACCTGATGGATCATTTAGTTCACAGTCCCATGTCTGAGGCCAGATAGGTTCCAGACAATGGCACTGAACTACCAAAGTCTCTAGCACACGGTCACCCCACATGGTTGCATCTGCCGGGCCAGAGGTGGTGCACAGCCAGACCTCTGAACTGTGGTGCATGGCCTCAGGGCTGGGGATGCCCCCTTCTGACCCCAAACAAGGGGAGAATCAGAAGCAGGTTATATCACATGGCACAGACTCTAGCACACCCTGGACTATTTCTGTACCCTCAGGCTTTCCTGGTTTCTGTTGTAACATAGCCCAGAGAGATCTGGGTGGGCTGCAGAGTGTCAGTTTGGTTTGCCATACTGATGACATCACTTTAATCAGATCAGAGGAGCAAGAAGTTGGCAGTTCCTCAGAAGATATGTGTGCTCGGAGACACATGTGCTCAGAGAGTCAGAAATAAGTTTATTGGAGATGCAGGGGTTCCCACATCAGTGTGGCCAGATGTTGTTGAGCACCTCACTTTCCATCCAAGAAGCATGGAGATGCATACACCATCCTTTCTTGATTCCTTCTCTGAGAAGACTCGCCCCCACAGACCATGCAAGTACCATGCCTCCTCAGATCTGTGTTCTGCCCAAAGGGGTTGATCCTTCCTTCCTAAACTAGAATCTGTTCCCTTGTACCTGTGCTTATAAGAGACAAGAAGACAAAGAGGGATCAAAGGGAAAAGTGATGAATCACAGAAAACACCTGTACTCTCTTTTGTTTATAACTCACTGTTACCATGTTCCCTCTTCCATAGAGCCCTCTATTGCACCCGACCAAAATATTTATTGTGAAGCACTAATCTATCAACAAATGGATATTTGTGTATGGCTAAAATAGCATTGTGGATCTTCCCTGTAGCTCAGACAGTGAAGAATCTGCCTGCAAGGCAGGAGACCTGAGTTTGATCCCTGGGTCAGGAAGATCCTCTGGAGAAGGGAATGGCTACTCACTCTAGTATTCTTGCCTGGAGAATTCCATGGACAGAGGAGCCTGGTGGGCCACAGTCCATGGGGTCACAAAGAGTCGGACACGACTGAGTGACTAACATACACACACACAAAATAGCATAATTAATTTATTTTCATATCTTCTCAATCTACTTTCAAAAGATTTGAAGTGACATAAAATAAATGACCAGTATATAATGCATAATTAAAAGGGTATCAAAAATGTATTGAAGGAAGAAATTGTTGTTTCTAACTTGTGTAGTGAAAGCAGCTACTGCAATGAACATAGAGCTCAGCTCTGAGTTTCCTGACAGTCAAGGTGAAAAGGGAAAGATGGAACACACTATCTCATGTAAGTTCTGTTACCTCATGAAAGGAAGGCTGTTCATTTTTCAGAAAAGACAATATTTTGGAGGAATTTTTAAGATAATTTTTTTCCATAAGGGATATTCAGTGAGTCAGGGAGTGACTTTCCATCTTTAACAATGGGGTTTGCTGCTTTGCTCATAACAGTGTCTGGAACATAGTAAAAGCTCAACTGGTACTTGTTGAATGACTGTAATAATAGTGCCTTCCACTGTCACATGAAAAAAAATTGGGAACATAATTTGTTTTTTGGTTGCTCAGTCATGTCCGACTCTTTGCAATCCCATAGACTGCAGCACACCAGGCTTCTCTGTCCTCCACCATCTCCCAGAGCTTGCTGAAACTCTTGTCCATTATGTTACTGATGCCGTCCAACCATCTCATCCCCTGTCATCCCCTTATCCTTCTGCCTTCAATCTTTCCCAGCATCAGGGTCTTTTCTAATGAGTGAGCTCTTCACATCAGGTGGCCAACATCTTGGAGCTTCAACTTCAACATCAGTCCTTCCAATGAATATTCAGGATTGATTTCCTTTAGGATTGCCTGGTTTGATCTCCTTATAGTCCAAGTGACTCTCAAGAGTCTTCTCCAACACCACAGTTCAAAAGCATCAATTCTTTGGCGCTCAGCTTTCTCATAGTCCAGATTATAGTCTAACTCTCACATCCATACATGACTACCGGAAAAACCAGAGCTTTGACTAGGTGGACCTTTGTTGGCAAAGTAACATCTCTACTTTTTAATATGTTGTCCAGGTTGGTCATAGCTTTTCTTCCAAAGAGCAAGCATCTCTTAATTTTATGGCTGCAGTCACCATCTACAGTGATTTTGGAGCCCAAGAAAATAAAATCTGTGTCTGTTTCCATTGTTTCTCCATCTATTTGCCATGAAGTGATGGGACCCGATGCCATGATCTTAGTTTTTTGAATGTTGAGCTTTAAGCCAGCTTTTTCACTCTCCTCTTTCACTTTTATCAAGAGGCTCTTTAGTTCTTCTTTGCTTTCTGCCATAAAAGTGGTGTCATCTGCATAGCTGAGGTTATTGATGTTTCTCCCAGCAATCTTGATTCCAGCTTGTGCTTCATCTAGACTGCCATTTTGCATGATGTACTCTGCATATAACTTAAATAAGCAGGGTGACCATATACAGCATTGATGTACTCCTTTCCCAATTTGGAACCAGTTCATTGTCCCACGTCCAGTTCTTTTTTTTTTTTTTTTCATTTATTTTTATTAGTTGGAGGCTAATTGCTTTACAATATTGTAGTGGTTTTTGCCATACATTGACATGAATCAGCCATGGATTTACATGTGTGCCCCATCCTGATCCCCCCTTCCGCCTCCCTCCCCATCCCATCCCTCTGGGTCTTGCCAGTGCACCAGCCCCGAGAACTTGTCTCATGCATCCAACCTGGGCTGGTGATCTGTTTCACCCTTGATAGTATACTTGTTTCAATGCTATTCTCTCAGAACATCCCACCCTCGCCTTCTCCCACAGAGTCCAAAAGTTTGTTCTGTACATTTATGTCTCTTTTTCTGTTTTGCATATAAGGTTATCGTTACTTACCATCTTTTTAAATTCCATATATATGCATTAGTATACTGTATTGGTCTTTATCTTTCTGGCTTACTTCACTCTGTATAATGAGCTCCAGTTTCATCCATCTCATTAGAACTGATTCAAATGAATTCTTTTTAATAGCTGAGTAATATTCCATTGTGTATATGTACCATAACTTCCATATCCAGTCCTAACTGTTGCTTCTTGACCTGTAAACAGATTTCTCAGGAGGCAGGTCAGGTGGTCTGGTAGTCCCATCTCTTGAAGAATTTTCAACAGTTTGTTGTGTTACACACAAAGGCTTTAGTATAATCAATAAAGCAGAAGTAGATATTTTTGTGGGATTCTCTCGCTTTTTTGATGATATAACAGACATTGGCAGTTTGATCTCTGGTTCCTCTGCCTTTTCTAAATCCAGCTTGAACATCTGGAAGTTCTCAGTTCATGTCCTGTTGAAGCCTGGCTTGGAGAATTTTGAGCATTACTTTGCTAGTGTGTGAGATAAGTGCAATTGTGCAGTAGTGTGAACATTTTTGGCATTGCCTGTCTTTGGGATTGGAATGAAAACTGACCTTTTCCAGTCCTGTGGCCACTGCTGAGCTTTCCAAATTTCACAATGTTCAGCCTAATTCTCTGGTAGTTTACTCAGGCTCTTAGGAGTCAAAGGAAGTGTCTCTGGTGGCCTGATAGGTGCAAGAGAAAGCATTCAGAGAATCCAGAGAAAAGAGGAATAACACCCTTGAATAATCTTCCTCTAGTATTTGTTGTTTGCCCCACACCAAGGAAAACAGCTTCAAGCAAAGGTGTCTGCACTGAGCTTCCTGTCAGATGCTCGAAGCCCAGGTGTCCTGAGTTGCTGGTGGAGGGGAGGCCCAGCTTGGCTGTCGGTGTTTCCTCACAATAGAATCACAGCACAGGCTGCAAAGGAGAGACCCAGGAGCTCTGGAAGCCCTCGCCTCTGACCACAGACTCTCCTGTGTAGAGAGCTGGGCTGCAGAAATCCAGCGATGAAGCAGCCCTAGCCCAGACTGCTCTCTAGGTTGTTAACAACTGAGCAAGACAGACTTCATCAGTGGTCAGAAGGAGCTTTTGTGAAACACTGGATTGGAAGACGCAACATTGTAGTAAAGAAACTTGAAAGGAGCAAAATGGGCACCTGCGTGCCCATTATACTTCCTTCAAGGTTTTATTATCATTTACAGGCGGTCTCACACAGTGCTGTGCAGTTTTGCATGAGTATTTACTGTTTAGAGATTCCTTTACTGGGCACAGGGCATGTGTCTGGAGGCTGCGGATCCCACGGGAAGAGCAGGAAGTCATGGTACACCCGTTGCCCCAGGCAGGCGGCTGCCTGCTGCCTTGGGCACCCCTTGGGCAGGCTCAGCCTGGAGAGATGGAGGAAGCAAGCAGAGGAGGTGGCCCCGGAGGTGGACACAGCCTCGAAGCTGTGATCACAGTGGCGGCACTTGGTGAAGACTGGAAGCCCATTTCCGAGGTTGTTCTGGCTCGGTGGCCGGCCCAGCCGGAACTGCCTCTCACCCATCACAGAGGTCATCACTCCCAGCTTCAGGGCATCAGGCGGCACAGAAGGGAGCGGACGGGGGCCACTGGCCGGATCGTGCATCCCACGGAGGCAGGGAGGCCAGGCAGGGTCAGGAGCAAGCGTGGCATCTGGGAGCATGAATGCAAGACCGTCAACTTTGTGTGACTGTGAGGGGCGGACGCTGCTTTTATTAACACGGGGCCCTGACACCCTCTTCAGTTAGCTTCTATGCCTTCCAAATGGTTTGACGTGAACAGAACTCTTCTCCCCTCACTATCTCTAAGTTTTTTGGTCTGTGAAAATGGGCCAACAGTGCCCTCCCAGAGAGAGGCTCTGAGGACCACGAGGGGTTTTGCTGGCGTTCGGTGCTCAGGACAATTCCGGTGGTTTCAGGATGAGGGTGGGGCACTTTCCTCTCCCCCCCCCCCGCCCCCTCAGCGCCTGGGAGACACCTGCTGTCCCACAGCACCCGCACCAGACCTGGGAGACCTGGGGGAGGCGGTCAGCCGCTCCGCCCTGGGACCTCGGGTCGCAGCCCCTGCAGGTACCGGCCCCGAGGAGTCAGCTCCCCCTGCCGCGGCCTCCCAGGATGAGCCTGCATCCAGTGCAGACGAAGGCCTCCCACTCACCCCAGACCCTCCCCTGGAGGAAGAAATCTTCAGAAGACAGGACGCTCACAAAACCACACTGTTCACTGACACCCAAACCAGAGACAGCCTCCACCCATCCTTCCGCGGGTGGATCTTAAACCGACACTGCTCAGCAGCAAAAAGGAGCAGATGGCTGAGCTGGTGCCAGAACCGGGCGACCTTGAGAAGGAGGACAGCCTGCCCTGCTCTCCTCACGAGGCCGCTCACAAGGCTTGAAAACAAGAGGCTGCAGAGATGGAGAGCCGACTGTGGTCGTCAGGGGCCAGGGGAGGGGGCGGCAGGGCTGCGCACGTGACAAGGCAGCAGGAGGGCCCCGCACGGCCCTGGGCCTGAGCGCCAGGGGGCCCCCGAGTGCCCAGAGGTCCCCGAGGCCCCCGCCTGCACTGTCCCCCCACCCGCCATACAGCAGAGCAGCTTCCCAGAGCAGAAGGAGGGAGAGGCCACAGGAGGAGCCGGGGACTGGCAGGGGCTTTGGGCTGAAGCTCCAGGTTTGGGGGCCAGGCAGGCAGGAAGCCACACCGCTCCCAGCTGGTCTGGTCTCATAATTCCAGCTCACTTGGTGGAAAGGACTCAGAACACAATGTATGTGGCTGCCGGATGGAAGAACTAGGAGATCGGAGGCCAGGGCAGCAGGAACAGCACCTGACCACATGGGGCCTGAGCTGACGGGGCCCCCAGCCCGGGGTCTGTGCAGAGTAGCAGTGATGAGTCAGCTTCCAGGGGGTCGCTCTCACGGCCAAGCGAGGAATAGGTGTTTATGCAGGGGGATCTCAGTGACCATGCTCTACTTCACCCCCAATTCCTAACAGGTAAAATAGAAAGTTACCTTTTAAAAGTGCCTCTCCTAAGACTCACATGTTCATTTTACAGCTAATGTCCCAGTGGAAGCGGGCCAGGCAGCACCCCAGGAGTTGGCTAATCCGTGATTGTCTGTCAGGCACCCCGAACCCCATCCACTGCTGTGTCTAAACCGTGTGCGTTACATCTTATGATGGCTGGGGGGTGGGAGCTGAGGCCCAGGGGTGGTCAAATCTGTCCAGCCTCCAGAGCTACTCCACACTCTTGCCGGAGGATTCTTGGCTGGAGTCGGTGACTCACTCCCCACCAGTGACTTCCTTCCTGCTCCTGGAGGGGGCCTTCCCACAGGAGGCGAGGAGCGCTGCCGCCAGCCCCCAGCAGCCCGCACAGCCTGTGGCCAGGTCCCCTGCTGGACCTGTGGCTGTGCCCTGGTCCGATCTCCCCTCATACACGTTACTCAGCCTAGAGGGAGTTTAAAAGGTGGATTAACAAGAGGAATAGGATCTGTGGCATCATCATCTTTGTTGTAACTGAAGATGTTTCTGATGTGGCCACTGTTCTGACTCTCAAGGACCCAGGAGTTGAAGTTTGCTGGGCCCCATCAGGTGTCCAGATGGGAAACGGCCAGCAGGACTTCGGGACCGCCAAGCAAGCCAGCGCGCCTTGTCGGCGGGTTCCCACGAATTCCTTTCTAGCCCTCAATGCTGAGTTTACAAAGGCAGCTGAGAAGTCCCAGGGCCAGAAGCACATACAGATCTAATTTCTTTAACTCTTAAGTGGGGTTAAGGCAAAGAGTTGAGAAAAGGAGGCAGAAACAACTGTTCCAGCTCATGATGAGACTCTAGCTTTGACCCGCTGTTTCTTGGCTTTAGCCTCAGCTGCTAGGTGTGTGTTAACTTCATGTGTGTATCAGTCTCCCCATAAAATAATCAGAAATACAAAAACAAAAACAAAAAGATGGCTGCATGGTATTTCGAAATTCTTGTTTGAAAGGACTGGGTTTTGTTCTTCTTTTTGGAAGGGACCTTGTACTTTTGTTTCATCTTTGCTTTCACAGTATTTTGTTCTCTAAACTGGATGCCAGCATCTGCTCTATATATAGATAGACATCATTGTGTAATCACCAGCATGAGGCTCTCTCAAGACGGACTCAGATATTCAGAGGCTTTTGTATTAACAAGTTTTTACAAACTCCCGGCTTGTGCATAACACCCTTGACGGCTTGATTTCTCTTTGAGCCTTTCAGAGCCAGTCAGCAGAGCCCAGATCAGCCTAGAACATCAAGCGTCGCCAGCCACATCTGCCTCCTCAGCACCGTGCTGAAATGGTCTATCCCTGGTTAGGTCACCAGACTGTCTATTCAAAACTCAGAAGGCTGATGTCACTGTTGATGCCAAAGCTAACTTTTCTCCCAGAATCTTCCGTGCACACCTGTCACTGAGTTTCTCAGCCACATCCCTACTGTGACCCCAGTGGGCTGCTGGGGCCCACCAAATTTCCTCTGCGGCCATGGCAGGGGGTGCCACGCCTAGACGGCAGACAACCACCTGTAGACATCAGTCACCAAAATCACTGTGACATGGGGCGACTTCTCAGGTAACAGAAATAACCTACACTAGATGATTTTTATTTTAAGCCAACTGTGAAGCAATGGGAATAGTATAAAAATTTATAGAGCTATTATCTTTGTCTAACTTCCTCCTTAAGGAAATAAAAACATGATTGTATATTTGGTCACACACATTGCTAAACCATCTTACTTTCTTCTCTCCCATAGATTTTTACCAGAACTGGGCAACATTGCCACATCACCTACAAAGCACAGTAAAAGCTAAGATGTGTTTAAGTGAACAGGGGCTGAAATTCAGAACATCATCCTTTATTCTTTTCCTTAGAAGTCTGTGCCTACCAGCCTCAGTGTGACTAGAGCCGAAAGGGTGTTCTTTTTCATCGCACACGATGATGCTGAAGTGCTTAATAACGCCAGTTATACATTTCTCTTTATCACTGCCGATGGCGTGATTGACCGTGCGTGCGTTGTGAGTGGAGACGTCTGATTCAGCAGCTAAGTCAGCTGCTGGGTTTACTCAGATTTCTGATGGGGTGATTAGCATGTGCCACCTGCTGGAAACATCGACAATGTCCCCAAGTGGCAAGGACTCCTGGAATGTGGCCTGGGGCCACTGGGCAAACCCAGGAGCCTGTCAGCACTTGTGGGGGTGCTGAGGGCCGGTGGTCAGACCACAGGTCCTCTGCTGAGTGGACTTCCTCCAGATCTTCCCCAGCCACGGGGATCCTAAGGTTTCTCTGTTAAACAAGCCTCTCTGGGCCTCCACCAGGAAAACCTGGGCCTCAGCCTCTCTCAGAGCCAGTTCATACCATCAGCACGACCTGAGGGGCCCATTAAAAGCAGCTGCTTTTTAAAAGCAGAGCCATCCTGAGGTTCTGACTCTGCAGTCCAAGGCAGGCCCAGAATTAGCCTTTCCTCCGATCCTGAAGGGTGCTGCACTGTTGTCTCTGGAGAAGAGTAGTCAGCAACCCCAGTCTGCCCCAGACAAAGGGGGTCCCTGGGACTCCAGTTAAAACCGGAGTGTCTGGGGAGTCTGTGATGGCCCTCTGCGACCCCGACCAAAGCCCCCCAGGTGTGGGGTTCTGTCACTAGCTCACGGTGCATTCCTGGAAGACGTCCTCCTGAGGAGTAAACGCATCAGCAGGATCACAGAACAAGCCTCAACACCTAATCTGGATTTGTTTACAGTAAGTTTTCTCTTATAAAGAGGAACTTTGAAAGAAGTAACCATTCAAATAGGGGGAAAAAACTTTCAGCCATCGTGCATCTAAACTAAAGATGAATTTTATATACTTCACTTCTTTAGGTCTCAGCTCTGCACTTTATAAAGTGCTATGTTCTTTTCTAATGTAGTGCATAGGTTCATTTCCATATCTTCATTTTATGCATGAAGCAGCTTTAGCTACATCCACTAACATTCAGAAAACTAAGATCATGGCATCTGGTCCCATCACTTCATGGGAAATAGATGGGGAAACAGTGGAAACAGCGTCAGACTTTATTTTTGGGGGGCTCCAAAATCACTGCAGATGGTGACTGCAGCCATGAAATTAAAAGACGCTTACTCCTTAGAAGGAAAGTTATGACCAACCTAGATAGCATATTAAAAAGCAGAGACATTACTTTGCCAACAAAGGTCCGTCTGGTCAAGGCTATGGTGTTTCCAGTGGTTATGTATGGATGTGAGAGTTGGACTGTGAAGAAAGCTGAGCGCTGAAGAATTGATGCTTTTGAACTGTGGTGTTGGAGAAGACTCTTGAGAGTCCCTTGGACTGCAAGGAGATCCAACCAGTCCATCCTAAAGGAGATCAGTCCTGGAATGCTAAAGCTGAAACTCCAATACTTTGGCCACCTCATGCGAAGAGTTGACTCATTGGAAAAGACCCTGATGCTGGGAGGGATTGGGGGCAGGAGGAGATGGGGACGACAGAAGATGAGATGGCTGGATGGCATCACTGACTCGATGGACATGGGTTTGGGTGGACTCCGGGAGTTGGTGATGGACAGGAAGGCCTGGTGTGCTGCGATTCATGGGGTTGCAAAGAGTCGGACACGACTGAGCGACTGAACTGAACTAACATTTTAGCAAAATCTCTCTGTCGGTTATATAGCAACCATCAAACAAACACCTTGTGGCTTAAAGTGGCACCACTCTCTGGTTCTGGGGTTGGTGGGCAGTTCTCCTGGTGGCGGGATGGGTGATCTAGGGTGGCCTTGTTTGCCAGTGCAGGGGTGGCCACGTTTCCCCACATTTGATCACTCGTTCTCATGGCAGCAAACCAGCCTTGTTAACTCAGCATCAAGGGGTTTCCCACAGCATGAGCAGCAAACTCCAGGATCTGTGCACATTTCAAGTCCCTGCTTGTAAACCAGTGGTCAAACCAATTTATGTGGCCAAGCCTAGAATCAGCGGGGAAACGGACCTTTGACCCTTTGTCTCAGGCAGACAAAGGAGTGTGGATTATTTGCCAAAATCTCTGTTTCTCGTAACAAAAGCTTCATTTCTTAATTGTCTTTCAAAGCAACTTGTGAGAAAGGAAAAGACTTACTACCAGAACACTAACTGGCCAAGCGCTAACAGGGAGAGCTCTAAGCAACAGAATGCTAACTGGCATGCCACTAACCAGCAGAGTGCTAACCAGCAGAGTGCTAACTAGCAGAATGCTAACTCACAGAGCACTAACCAGCAGAGCGCTAACTGGCGTGCCACTAACCAGAAGAACGCTAACTCACAGAGCTCTAACTAGCAGAGCGCTAACCGGCAGACCACTAACTGGCAGAATGCTAACTCACAGAGCACTAACCAGCAGAGTGCTAACCAGCGTGCCACTAACCAGCAGAGTGCTAACTGGCAGACCACTAACCAGCAGAGCGCTGACCAGTAGAGCACTAACCGGCAGACCACTAACCAGCAGAGCGCTGACTCACAGAGTGCTAACTAGCAGAGCACTAACCAGCAGAGCGCTCCCCCAAGTCTGCACTGAGAGGCGGGCCCGGTTCCAGGTCCTCAGGCCAATTAGCCAGGCCCCCAGCACAGCCCCAGCTCTAGGGTCCAAGGACACCCTCAGGCTGGGCAGAGATAGCGGCCGCCCGCAGTCACCCTGTGGGCCGGAACCCCTGTCCCCCTCGGCAGGGGAGCACCGGGGCTGGGAGGCACACAGGGCTGTCTGGCGCTCTGATGGGGAAGGTTCAGGCAGAGGACCGGCCCGTGCACGCGGCAGCTCCTGTGATGACCGAAGGCATTGTCCCCTCCGCGCAGGGCTGCTGCCCGGTCCTCACTCGCTTCGTTTAAGATCATGATTCCTGCTTCCTGTGGTCCGCATTAAAGCTGTTTCAGGATGCGCTGTAACAGGGGGGAGGTGTGGCTGGCTCTGAAGAAGCGTGAAAACCCACGAGGATGGGGGCCCCCAGAGCCCCCATAGAGCTCCTGGCAACACTTGCTCGTGCTTCTCGGGGTCATGAATCTTCATGGTTTTAAGGCCAGGGCGTTTCTCTTGCTGTGAAATGTCTGTTCATCATTATTGCTCACTTTTCTGTTGGGTCTGTGCTCTTTTGTATTGAGTCATTGGTATCTTCATTTATTAAAGAAATGACTCTCTTGCTTAGATTATAATATGCAAATACCTCTGGGTTTGGTTATTTTGCCTTTGGCTTGTGTTTTGTTGAAGATATAGTTTATTTTTCTATAATAAAATTTATTGATAGATTTATTTTTTAATATAGTTTTTAATCAGCTAACCTAAAGACCTTTATTTGATTTTTGAACATTTTTATTTTAAAATTATTTTCATTAGGGCTCAGATCCCATATATTATCGGAAGATGCTTCCAGTGATGTGATACTATGCTGTGCTATTTTATTTTTAAAATTATTTTTATTAACTTTTTTCTCCTGGTGTTTCGTATCATACTGTAGAAAGAACTTTCCCTCTCACATTATTTTTAAAATCATTCTTGTTTTCATTTACTATTTTCATGCTTCCTTTGTCTCCAATTAAATTTTTATTTGTTTTGAATTTATTTTGATTAAGATATAAGATGTGGATTGAAGCTAATTTTTCAGACGGCTCTTTAGTTTTCTCAAACCACGTGTGGCTAATCCTTTCCCTGATTATCTGAAATGGCATTTTTATCAGTAGATTCCTGTGTAATCTCGTATTTCTGGGTTTTCTAATTTGTTCGTTGATCTGATTGTGGACCAGCACTGCGCCACCACTGTGAGTCTTTTTCCTCAGGTATTTTCTGTGGCTATCTTTGCTTCTTTACCTTCTCTGGTTGAAAAGGACATGCAGCCCCAGGGTCGTCCGTCTGGCGTGGCTCTGCCAGCTCTGCCACCGCACACCCTCTGGCTCCCTCCGCTGCAGGCCGGCTCCGGCTTTGCGATTCAGCCCAACAGGCTTTCTTTTAGACGGTGGATCGAACTCAGTTAAGGACAGTGCTTGCTGGCCACGCTCCCGATGTCCTCAGCCTTGTGGGGCCAGTCCCTGAGCCGCTCAGGGAGTTTTCCTGGTACGGACTCATGGTCGCTCACCCTTCTGCCTCTCTGAAACCCTAGTATTCAGACACTTCACTCCCGAGCGGACCACAAATCGCCCACACCTCTTCTCGGGTGTCTCCCCTTCTCTACATTTGAGCTCTGTCCTGGCCGACAGATCTTCATGGGATTTGAGTTCAGTAAGCCCATATTTTAATTTCTTTCCTGTTCTCTGCCCGTTAGAAGATAGCATCCTGTTCTTACATGATGGATATGCACTAATTTCTGAAATGTTCCTGAGGACAGTAATTTGACCTTTAACTTTCTATTTTTTTATGTAGCTGTCTGCTCCAAGGTCATGTCAGCTCACCTCTGTGAGGATGCTTTGCAGCGTGAGTGACAATCCTCTGGGTTCACTAATAGGCCAGATCCCTAAACTCCAGTGTAAAGAGAAGAAGCAGTATCTACCGGCCATGTTCTCAACATACCTGTATTGTTCACCTCAGTGTTGCTCCACTGAATTGATAAGAATTGTGCTGACTTGTTGCCCAATTCACTGACATCTTTTAAAATTAGGCTTCACAGCAAATTACTATTCCATGCTCAAGGGCAAAATATCATATCCTGTGTGTTAATTATTAGCTTTAGCATTTAGGATTCCAGCCATGGATTACTTTGCTTTTCATAGTTCCTCTGAATTCCACGAAGTTTTCTTCACACAAAAACACAAAATCAAATATTAAGTGTGTCTAGGTAGAGTCGATCTGGTTGAGTGTGGAAGGCTCTTGGGGTCCTGCCGTCTCAGCCTCACACCCTTCAGTGGCCCAGCAACCACCCAGCAGGGACACAGGAGCAGGGAAGGGTTGCAGAGAAGGAGGTACACGCAGCAGTAGGTCCTGAGGGAGGTATGACTGGAAGCTGGCGGAGGGGGTCGTCTATCGGAAAGAAGGTTAAAGTTACGAAGAGAAGACCTCTCGTGTCTTCCCAAGGCCTTGGGTGCAGTGGGGGCTCTGGACTTCAGCTTTTTTGGCTTCAGGGCAAATCTGCATTTCTTCTGCAGAGAGGCCAGTGGGAGAGAGGCGGGAGGGGCAGAAGCGAGGCCAGGTCAGGGTGGGACAGAATCTTCGGGTTTGGCAATGAGCAAGTAAGATGTCAGAAATTTTAATCGGCGAGGTCTCCACGAAAACTTGAGGTCAGAAACCTGACTGAAAGGGTCCCAGAAGCTCATACAGCAAAGGACACCGCTGGTGGGAGCTGGTGAACCGGCGAAGGAGGTAGGATACCGCGGCTCCCGCCAGTCTGGTGCCGCCCTCGCCTGCACCCCACAACCTCAAGGCAAGTAGCAGCTCATCTTCAGCTGAAGACTCGGTCAAACTTGCTGTCTTGTGTGTCCTTGACACCAAGATACCTACTATGATGTCTGCAGAAGGTAGGTTACTTCACCAAGGCACGGCAGACGCTGAGGCCTAGGCGGAGGAAAACATCCCTGACCCAGAGTCAGAGCCCCTGGACCCAGCTCTGTCTCCCCTCCAGCCTGGCCTGCCCTGTGAGGCTGAAACATGTGTTATTGCTACCCACTGGGTCTGGGGCCGTTTTCACAGCATCACTTCCATTTTTAAAATTTAAGTAGCTCAAGAGTGCCTCTGGACCCAGGACAAGGTGACTCTAAAACACTTTCTGACATTTATGTTCAATTTTGTCCTGGAAGAAACAAGCTTCAAGAACTCATCCGCTTATTTTAGTGAAGTGAGGGTGGTAAGACAGAGTCTAAAACCAGAGAGACCACACACATAACTACTTATGCTAACTTTGCCAGCAAGAAGGCCCCACCTCCCTGCCACCCCCGCACACAGGACCAAGACACGACCTCTGCCTGGTCACCCAACAACATGCGAAGCCAGCTGCCTCCACAGTGAGGGTCACACAGGCACATGGACGGGGCAGTGAGTGCCCCCCAGATCGCCTTCCCACCCAGAGGCCAGGGCCCTTCGTTAGAGTGCATTTCCAGTCTCTGCACCCCACATGAATATGGCAGGTGACCCGCCCCTAGAGGACACTGAAGGTGCATTGCCCCAGTGGCAGTAAAACTAGAAACATGGAAATTCATCATTTGTGTTCAAAACTTTTCTCTTCTTCTGGATTAATTCCCTAAGAATATCTCCAGGGCAGGATTAAGAGACATAAGTGGACCTTCTCAGGACTAACATCCCTGAAAAGTGATTGCATAACTGAGGCTACAGATAACCCCACCATCACTAATTAATGACAACTAAAACTCCTTGTTTTCAAAACACCCAACAAATAAATCAGATGTATCCTAAAAGCACACTCACCGGCTACAGGAACACCCTGTCTTGTTCTTGACCTTGGAGCTCATCCAGATACAGGTGGTTCCCAGTTGTCCCTCTGCTTAATCCTTAGCTCAGTCCCCACACTGCATCATTATCTGTATGATCGTGGTTCTTTGAAACTTGTGGAGACTTTTTACGGCTCAGCATATGGTCAAATTTTGCCAATTTTGTAAATGTTCCTCATGTGTTGAAAATTTTGTGGTTTCCTGTTCCCTGAAGATATTTCCAGTTTCGCCTTTTTTTCCATTTAAAACACAGGGAGCACCATTGTCCTCTATCGTCTCATGATTTCAGTAGCTGTTGTCTCTGGGAGTCGGTTCTGAGGTTTCTACTGGTTCTACTCATGTCAACTCACTTTGCAAGACGCTCGTGCCTTGGAGACACTGGGCAGGTTTGGGGCCTTGAATGGAGACCGTCACTTTTTCTTGGCATCTTGGGATGTCTCCAACCACGGCTGCTCCAGCCAGTCCCGTGGAGTGAGAGCGCTTGGCTGCCCAGACACAGGAGCTGGGGGCAGGGACTCCCCACTCTGTCCCTGCCCTGCAGGAGATTTAGAGATTGTTTCTGGTCCACCTTCCCCCAGGGCTCTCCTGTGGGGCCCCCGTGTGTCTCTCACAGAGGCCTCAGTTTCTGGTACCTGGAATACCCCCAGGAAGAGCCCCCTCTGTGCTGGCTCAGGACTCTGGCTGCTTTGACTGCAGCGTCGCAGCTTCGAAACTCCTGAGCCTGAGACAGCCCCTTGGTGCATTTAAGATGCCCTCGGTGCTTTCAGGTGTCTCAGGCCGGAGGAGCAGCAGCCCTGACTGGACAGAGGTGCCCAGTATCCCCATCAAGGCCCCCCATGACCCATAATCTCCAGAGGCCACCAGGGGCACCTCCGTATTCCTCAGAACAGATATCTGTGGGCCAATTTCCCTCCAAAAGGAAGTAAGTTTGAGGCAATTCGAGATTCCTGCAAAATAAGGATGGAGGCTGTTGCTCACACTGCCCTTGTGGAAAGGCAGAGGGACAGAAAAGTCAACTGTGGTCACAGAGCACAAGAAAAGATTTACAAATATTGAGGATTTAATTAAAACGTATTGTATCACAAACACTCGATCCTGTGTACACATCACAATCAATCGTGCGCAAGGGCTTCATGTAGTTGCGGTATCACTGGCAACATCTCAAGGCCTTACTAATAAACTCAATTTTCAAGTCAAATTGGACCAAAACACTGACTAAGACTGAGCCAAACACACAGTTATCATGTGAATGAGCAAATCAAAAAAGGCTCTGGTATTTATTTTCTGCAGAACATAGGTAAAAACTGTTTTAATATTAAACATTCAAATCTGGAACCACGTAAAAATTCACTACTTAAAAGTTCACAGAATGCAAAACGGTGTCATGGATCGGGTCTTGGACAGAAAAGAACATCAGTAGAAAGCAGCACCGTCTCTTGCTACAAACTGAACTTGAGGCCGCCCCAGCCCCTCTTCTGAGTGCTTCCGCAGCATGTGCGAATCCTTGCCGGTGTTTCAGATTCTTCCCCCAAGACAAGCCCTTAGGAACTCCGAGCTAGCAGACTCTTCTGCTCTCATCCTGTTGAGAGCATGCTAGCAGCTAAAACTTAGTCCCAGCCGGGGTGGATGGGCGAGTGGGAGACAGACCAGGCAGGTGGTGGTGACCTTTCTGTTCCTGAGGGCAGGTCCAGTTTCTCCAGGTTCTCTGCCCTGGGCCCCACCATCAAGTCAATCAAATAGCAAACATGAATCAAGTGGTCAGTGGAGAGCAAGCCCAGGTGGACAGTCAGCACACAGCTGGAAGGGCGAGTGCAGCAAAACCACACGTTCGAAAGCCCTCAAGCATCCTGTGATTTGTCCAGTTTCTGCTTTGCCCTTCACGCACAGGCTGTCCACACAGTGTGAACAAATTGGACAGAGTGGCTTCTGCCCCAGGCACCTGGAAAGATGCTGAAGTTATCAAAAATCTCTCAGCCTGTGTGGCCAATGGGCTTCAGAAAAAGAAAGATGAGAGTTATGTAGACCCATGATTGAATGAAAAGTCTCAGATTCCCAGCTGCGGACTCAGTCACTAACATCAGTCCTATGTTCCATCATTGCTAATGGCAGATATCCACCAAGCACCACTGACTGTGGGCTTGATCAGTGCCTGTAACCAGGTAAACAAAAATAACTTAACAGAAGTCTTTTGATTGTGACGTGCAGGCTTTATAGACTCAGAAATTTTATAAACTTTGTAAAATTTAGACTAGACTATAAAATCTAGACTTTATAGACTTAAAGTGCCGACTTTTTTTAGGCAATAATTCTTACATTTATCTTCTACTGTGCAGAACCCAATTCCTCATACTATGCCCCCTTCCACAGAGCTGCATGGTGAACTCCCATTTGCGAACTCTGCACTGCAGAGCTTTGTAATGGTTATTGTAATGTAGTGAAGACCAGAATTCTGAAATGAAAATGAAAATGAAATGAAAATGAAAATAGCACTGCTATTTTGTCATTAACCTGTTCCTCTAATTATGTCATCCTCAAAATTATGCATATAATTCTGACAAAGAAGAATGACTCAAAAGATAATGTTATCATCACTTTATTTCCTTTGTCTCACAGAAAACCCATTCCTAACAGAAAAAGCCAGGGAGAGAAGAATGGCTTAAAATGGCTAAAACTTTCTGTCTTCAAGTCCACTGGAGAAAAAGTTACTGAAGATCCGCCACCTAAGCTGCAGATAAAAATATTTGGAACTGTCCAAGTTATTATAAAATTCAAAGACAGAAGAGGAAGGGACTGAGGAAGGGAGGGGGAAGGGGGAGGATGCAGGGAAAGAGAGGAGGAGAAGATGGAAGGAGTTAGTTGGGGGAGAATCAGTTCAGTTCAGTTCAGTCGCTCAGTCATGTCCGACTTTTTGTGACTCCATGAACCGCAGAACGCCGGGCCTCCCTGTCCATCACCAACTCCCAGAGTCCACCCAAACCCATGTCCATCTAGTCGGTGATATCATCCAACCATCTCATCCTCTGTCGTCCCCTTCTCCTCCTGCCCTCAATCTTTCCCAGCATCAGGGTCTTTTCAAGTGAGTCAGCTCTTCGCATCAGGTGGCCAAAGTATTGGAGTTTCAGCTTCAACATCAGTCCTTCCAATGAACACCCAGGACTGATCTCCTTTAGGTTGGATCTCCTTGTAGTCCAAGGGACTCTCAAGGGTCTTCTCCAACACCACAGTTCAAAAGCATCAATTCTTCAGCACTCAGCTTTCTTCACAGTCCAACTCTCACATCCATACATGACCACTGGAAAAACCATAGCCTTGACTAGACAGAACTTTGTTGGCAAAGTAATGTCTCTGCTTTTTAATATGTTGTCTAGGTTGGTCATAACTTTCCTTCCAAGGAGTTAAACGTTTTTTAATTTCATGGCTGCAGTCACCATCTGCAGTGATTTTGGAGCCCAGAAAAATAAAGTCAGCCACTGTTTCCACTGTTTCCCCATCTATTTCCCATGAGGTAATGGGACCAGATGCCATGATCTTAGTTTTCTAAGATCTTGAAGATTTTTGAGAAGAGAATGTCTTCACCTTATTCCTGAACACGGGGCACTGAGGTGCGCTCCTCCGAGTGGCATCACTGAGAGGTTACCCCCTGCAAGGGAGGGACATTCAGCTCCTTCTGCCAAGTGCAGAGGCCACTCTCTGGTCTCTTCCCTTCCCGGAGCTTGGGTGCCATGGAGACTGTCATGTGACCCAGCAAACACAGTTGTCCAGGGCTGCACCGGAGAGGCCTCCACTCTCCGTCCTCTCCGAGATGCTTGGAGTCCCCCGGCTGGCACTTTCCCATGGCAGGGGGTACCTGCAGGGCACGTGGGAGAAAGCCTACCAGGATCACAGGAGAAAGGTAGGGGCAGATGTGCAGAGCAGCACGTCGAAGCCACAGATCCCCTGAAAGCCAAAGGCGAATTTTCTTTTTGGAGATGGAATAGGTGAAATGGCATATCCTTAAAAGGTTGGTCATGCCATACAATGAAAATTGCATTAAATAGACTATGGCTTCCAAGTGCCATGTTTTAGGACCATCCTTTCTCAATCATGGCATATTTCCCCTATCGAAACAACAAACTCCAGTAGGGACTAGGAATGGACTTTTGTTTCTGTTAAGAGATACACTATTATTTCCATATGTCTGATGCAAATGTGGGTCTCATTTCAGAAGGCGGCCCTGTGGCCCCAAGTGGCCGGGCAGTCTTCTGCCGTCGAGACCTCTCAGAACCATCCAGGTGCAGGGTGCTGGCTGACCATCAAAGCTGAGAAACAAAGAAGCGGCTGTGTGGGAATCGGGGTGCCATGGGATGATCTAAAGGAGTGAACCTAAGGTTCTTGCTCCTCCCGGGGTACCGCCCGCCTGGGTGCAAGGTTTGCACACTGCCTCCTCACCTGGCCTTTCACCTGCGTCCCTGCGGGAGCCCCTAGGAGCCTCTAGGCTTCACCCCAGTTCACCTCCCTTCCTGCGACCCCTGGTTCTGGAGCCCCCCCCCCTGCTCTCTGAGAACAAGGACTGCACGCAGCCTCCCCGTCCCCCTCCTCCCCTCCCCAGTCTGGGGGGTGGCCTGTCTGGTTGCTCAAGCATGTTGGAGGGTGGGAAGGACTCACCCCGGTATCCCTGTGGTTCTTCTTCTGTACTCGAGTGGGGTCAGCTCTTTAGAGGAGCTCCTCACTGCTTGGGCTGAGAACCCCTGAGGGTAGGAAGGGACTCGGTGCAGCTTTAGGATGACTGGAACCCCTCCCCCAGCCCACAGCACCCCCAGAGTGAGGCCCCTCCCCATGTCTTGGCAGGGCCTCGTCTCACAACCTCAACACCCATTCATGCTAAGAAAATTACCTTATTAAAACAGAAATTGCTGCTGATATTTCCTTAACAAAACCCCGTAGCACCTCCACCCTCCTCTGACCCCACCCTAACAGACTCACACTGCGGCAAGAGGGCCGGAGTCTGGCTCACTTCTGCCCGTTCCCACGGCCCTGGGTGATGGGGCAGCACAGACTGTCCAGTCTCATCCACCATGTCCTCCTCCACACGCAGTGAAGAGGACCTCTCTCTTGCCTGTCCTTCTGGGGTCCCCTTACTTCAGGGCACAAGTGCTGGTTCCCGAGCCTGTTTTCCAAGACCCCTGGCCGGCTCCTGGCTCTCTGAGAAGACGCCTGCTCCGTCACCACACGGCTCCATGGGTTCGCATCCCAGATGCCTAGAGCTCGGGTCCTCACACTGGAAAGACGCAGTCGTGGAGCTGCCACTTCCAGATCAGATCAGAGGTCTCAGCAGCTGGGGATATGTGAGCAAGTGGCTAGAATATGGGGGTTCCTTCTTATTGCAAGTGTAATACTTACGGCCCTCGTGCATTTCGTCCATTACATTTTAAAATACAAATTCTTCCCTTGTTTGTACAATTTCTGATATGAAACTCTGCATGGATCATTTTGCACTTAATCAATGGCTAAGATGCTAATGCTGAAAATACTGCTGGAAGTTCAGAAACTAGAGTCCGGTGGACTCGGGGATGTAATTCACTGTCTCAAAGCCAGGCAGTGCAGAGTGGAGATGTCAGCGGGCAGCTCCATTTAATATCTCATCCCACACACACTTGATTCTCTGCTTGAAAATGACCGTGTCGAGCCATGTCTGAGGGCTGCCTGTTCCCCTCCAGGGGATGCTCAGGTTCCGAATCAAGTCCAGAGCCTCTTTCAGAACTTTCTGCCCAGACCAACTTGGTATCTCCGACACTGTGACAACCTGCACGTGCTCCCAGGGCCCACAGACCAGAAGCTGCCCAATGAAAACTCAGGGTAATTGACTGGTGAGGGTGTGTGGGTCACACTGCCTGCTCTGCGCAGGTGCAGGAGGCCCGGCCGGTGGTGGACAGCCGCGCCCCGCCAACCCTCAGTCACCTCTGCCTGAAACTCGGCAAACTCAAGGTAAGTTTCAGTTCTATTCCAGTTACTGTTACAGCCAACACAACACAAAAAATATCAGCTTAAAAACCCAGGAAAATAAAAAAAACAGGCTCATAGGGAAGAAGCAAGTCATGTATCAAAAATAAAATGCCTCTCAGTTCAGTTCAGTCTCTCAGTCGTGTCCAACTCCTTGAGACCCCATGAATCGCATCCCGCCAGCTAAGCCTGTCTCACCCAGAACGGAGCTGGGACAGCTGAGCCAGGGATCTTCCTCTGATCTCCCTGCTGACCGGGCAGGGATCCGGAAGTGGGGAGGGGGCAGAGGGGATCCACCGCAGCAATTTATTCAGCACAGATCTAGAGTAATTAATTAGCATTGTTCCTTTAAACCAGACCCTTCCGTGGCCACCTCGAAATTTTTATTTCCTGGCGTTGAAGCCATCTGGTGAGAGTCAGCATCGCATACCTCCCAGAGCAAAATGCTGCGAGCTTTCCAGGCCCCCAGCGTCAGCCTAACCAGGCAAAACAGAGGAGCAAATAGGCAGATCAGTCGGCTCAAAACCCTACATAAAGTAGGAGGGTTTTCGTTTCCTCTGGCCTCAAACCTTCTTTTCTTCTGAGCAGTATAAAATCTCCCTCTTAAAATATAAAGTGATTTCCTTTGTATTTCACTGACACAGCTCAGAGGTTTTGAGGAATGACCTAATTTCGCAAAGAATCGGTTCTCCCTCCCTGTTACTTCCACTCCAAGTCTGTGAAATTTGGCCCCGCCCTTGGGTATCCCAGTTAGGACACAGGAGCCCGCCTGCTGCCCAGGGAGCGGCCGCAGCAGCGCGGGCAGGTGCGAGGGGGCCCTGAGGCCCAGGGGCGGGGCTGCAGGCCCCCTGGACAGGGCTGTGCGCGGGGCGGCCCTGGCACGGCCCTGGCACGGCCGGTGTGTCTGTGCAGCTGGAGGAGGGCCGGCTGTCCACCATCGACAGGGATAACCGTCTGCTGCTGGAGAAGGTGTCCTGCATCATGAGGACTGGGGGGTGGACCCTCAGTGGTGTCACCTGTGCACACAGGAGGTAAGGGGGCCCCATCCATGGGTGGGACCACACTGGGCGAGCCAGGCGCCTCCACCCCCTGCAGAAAGAGAGCCAGCGCCTCCAGAGTCAGGCCGGTTCCCACCCTCAGCGACACCTGGACACGAGCAGCAGCTCTCAAGGTTGCAGGCCCCTGTCCACACTGGCCCTCCCAAGCCTGTTCACTTCATTGTGAACAAGAGGGGACACTCCTGCTCAGGAAACCTTCCTGCCCAGAAGGCACCCAGCTCCTTCTCTTGAAATGAGGATGAGAGTTGATGCCACCACAGGCTTCAACTCTCTCCATGTTTCAACATCTATGTTGTTTTTTTGGAGTCTAAACAGGGAGAAACGAGAGCAGGAGCTTTGCAGCCTGAGAGAGAAAAACCCGTTCTGGAGAAGGTCACAAACTCAGCGCAGGATCCGTTCGCCACACACCCTGTGGGAGGCAGACCCACCGCCGGAGGAGGTACCTCGCTTTTCTATTCCTTCCAACCCAGAGCTGTCTGAATTTTCCATTCCTTTCATCAGATTCATCACAGGTATGGACACACAGACTCTTTGCTACTTTAGGGCATTTTACTCTATTGTCAGCAAATGTGCCGAATGGTCGTACCTTAATAATGGAAGACATAGAACAATGACTCAACTGAGGAATTCGCCCACTGTTTCCTCACTTAGAAATTATGTGCATGTCAGTTGCTCACTCATGGCTGACTCTTTGCAACCCTATGGACCGTAGCCTGCCAGGCTCCTCTGTCCATGGAATTCTCCAGGCAAGAATACTGGAGTGGGTTGTTGAATACTGGAGTGGGTTGCCTTCTCCAAGGGATCTTCCCGACCCAGGGATTGAACGTGGGTCTCCCACATTGCAGGAAGATTCTTTACCATCTGAGCCACCAAAGAAACCTCCTTGAAAAATTGTAAGGAGATAAAAATGAGCTCAGTTGATCAATTATAGGTTGTAGGAGAAAGATTTGATGAAAAGCCTTCCTCAGTGGGAAGTTTTGTGACAATCCTGAAATAGCGGTCCCATGCTGCACCCAGAGAGGCGAAGGAAACTAATCTGAACATGTTTGCCAGATACTTTGAACTGTAAGCTCTCCCTTTTCATCTCATCCTTGTTGCTGGCAAAACCATAATTCTGAATGAAAAAAATGATTTTAATTTTGTCCTTAATTATCCTGTTTATGAATGTCCCAATGAATCCGATTAAAGGGCTGTAAAACCTCCACTTGCCTCATTTGTATGCATGGCTCTGGTATTTCGGGGACTTGCTTTCCCTTGAAATGCAGCCCATCACGGGGAACAACGCTAGATGTCAAAGTTTAAGGAAACACTCGGTGCCCAATCCCCTCTTCCCCCGACCCTGCAGCCTGACGCAGACCCCCGCGGGGGCCCGGCTCTGTTGGGTGGTTTACCGAGCCTGCAGGCGTGTGAGCGGACCTGGCTCTGCTAATGCCTCTCTCCTCACTTGGGGGGAGTGTTGAGAAGCCCCCACCTTCCTGCCTGCTTGCCTTGGACGCTTCTTGCAGAGTCCGGAGGCACGGGAAGAACACATACATTTCACAAAGATACGTAACTTACAAGTAATTACTAATAAGAGGCACACCTGCTCGGCCCCGTTCCAGAACACCACAACAAAGTGAAGGTCACAGGAAAGGGAGTCAGGAGTGTTCTGGCTTCCCAGCACGTGTGAAAGCTGTGTTTACACTATACTGTCATCTATTAAGTGTGCAGTAGCATCGTATCTTTAAAAAGTACATTCCTTAATTAAAAAACAATACTCTACTGCTAGAAAATGCCAGCCATCATCTGAGCCTTCAGTGAGTCATAGTAATGACATAGCAGATCACTTAAAAATGTAATAACAATGAAAAACTTTAAAATATTGTGATAATTACCAAAATGTGACACAAATACACAAGGTGAGCAAATGCTGTGGGAAAAATGATGTCAGTGGACTTACTGGACATAGGGTTGCCCCAAACCTTCCATTTGTATAAAAAAGCAGTGTCTGTGGAGTGCAGTAAAACAAGGTGCTAAAGCATTCAGAAAATCTAGCTTGCAATTTATATTGAAAACATGAACTGTTCGTTACAAATCTTTATTTTTAATTATAAAACTAATACTTGTTTATTGTAAAAAATAAAGTATAAACCAGTACCGAGTGGGTGCGTAAGGGGGGGGCTCTCGGTCTGAACTGTCCAGAAGTGACCACTGCCAATATCTTGCTTGTGGACTCTGCCTTTGCTCCTCTGTAGAGCTGCCTGTTTAAGCAAAAATGGCACCACATCCTACATAGTTTTCTATCAGTTGCTCATTTCATTCAACAACATATCATGAAGACAGTTTCATGTCAGTATAAAAAGATCTTCTCCATTCCTTTTTAGCAGTTACAAAGTATTTTTGCACGGATGTGCCCTAATTTATTTAATCAGCCCCCTAACTATAGAAATTTAGGTTGTTTCCAGTTTTTCACTATTCCACGTGAAACTATGATAATCATCCTAGCCCATGTTATTTCTGCAACGTACATTCCTAGAGGTGAAATCATTCAATCCGAAGGTGCACACTTACTTTTTCGGTGCTAGCAAACTGCCCTTGAGAAGCGCCCAGCAACGTGCATGTCTCCCTGTGACAGTTGCACCCTCACACTCTGGCTTCCGGATTTCTTCTGCAGAGTAACTGTCTGCGCCTACCTTTGGTCAACTCCCTACTGCTGTGTCTCCTTTAGTTTTTAACATGCATTATCAATATTTACTTTTTCTATTATCAGTGTCACAAATATTTTCCCATTATTATTTATCATTTCACCTAGTTTATTTCTAGGTCATCAAATCTGTGACTCTTTTACCTCATGGCATCTTGTTCTTCTACTGTATGTAGAAAGGGCTCTCTCAAGCTAAGATTGGAAAAATATTCTATGTTATCCTTAATTTTTCATAGTTTTCCTGATTCACTTTAAATCTTTAATTAATATAGACTTTAATCAATGTGGAATTTTTGTTCATAGTGTGAGAAAAATTTCCCCCAAATTTATTGCTTAAAAAACACCAGCGTGTTGTATCAGAAGCTTTTCATACTTGACGCAGACTACTTTCCAGAGGGTTACACAGAGCCTGTGTAACAGGGTTACAGGCTCACACCCCAGGGCATGAAAGGCTCCTGGGTCCTCCCAGATGGAGAAGGGGTCAGCCTGCATGCCTTTCACATGGGTCTTGGGCCTTTTTCATTGGGATGTCATGTATTTACTCCTCTGGTTTACGTGACTAATTTTTTTTTTGACATCATTTAATTTGTAATGTTTCTGTGTCGTTTTATTTCAGATTTGTATCTTCCAAGTGGAACACTATAATTTTGTTTTATCATCTAGTCCAAGTGGCTTTCCCCCCAGTTTTAACCATTTATATTTATTGACTTAAGTATCGTATCGTGTTTGCTCTCATTTCTGGTTTTTTGTTTGTTTATGTTTCCTTACTTTTTCCCCATTTGTCATTTTGTTTAGCAAATGTCAAGAAAATGCTTGGATCCTGTGCTTCAGATTCATTCCTCATTTATTTACTTTGACTCCCTTGAAACCCTCCTTTTACAAAACAGGAAACAGATAAAGGCCACGAGCAATGGGAGATGTTAAAGCCAAACCAAGAAAGGGAAAACAGAAGCCCCTCGCAGCAGGGCTTCCTGCACTTTATTTGAAGTGTCACCAGCTGCGCTGAGTGTTTAAGTGTGGGGCCAAGGAGCTGCCAGGACGAGACAGGAACCGAAGCAGGGAAACGCTCCCAGTTTTGACAAAGACCAGACCCCAGGGAGCCGGCGGGCAGGCGTCCCAGTGCTGGGCTCCCGGCGAGGTCATCGCTGCTCTGTGCTTCCCTTTGTGAAAAGACAACCGTGCAAAGCACGAGGAAGCAACTGCCAGCTCACTGCCTCTGGTCCCAAGTCAGAACTGTGACCTGAGTGTCACAATCCAGACCCAAAGGCAGCTCCCTCCCAGCGGCTCTCACGCCCAGCGTGGAGTTTCCAGCCTCAGCTTCTGTGCAGGACGAGGGTGGGGACAGACGCAGGACAGAGGGACAGACGGCCTGCTGTAGATCTCCCCTGCCGAGGGTCCCCTTCCCTGCCTCGAACCAGGAGGACTTTTCCTTGACAAGCCCCTGCTCTCTATCCTTGGAAACACAGGGACTTGGTCAGCATCCAGGTGGGAGGAGGGGTTGCAGCAAAAAACCAAGCTATTTGAAACCTGCAAGTTTAGGGAGGAGAGGACTCTGTTATAGGACCAGAGGGTTGGAAGATGGTCCAAAGAAAGCCCAGTGGCTACCCTTGACCAGCTGTCTGAAGACTGATATCCCTACCCAACGTCCGGTCAGCTGAGCCTGGGGCCTTTGCTGGTCAGGCACAGACAGGATATGCCGTAGTTTACGTTTAAAATTCCAGAAAATATGCTCATTGACTTGGCAGAAAAAAACAGCCCTTCCTCTGGAGCCCTGATTCCTTTGCCAGAGCAGCATCTCCTCAATCTTTCTGTAGTTTTTGCTAGTTTAGATATTAACTTGCAAAGTATCTCAAATATTTTGAAGGAAAGGTTTCAACCTTTCATCTTCCTTACGCTTTCAAATCATCTTCACTTATCCCTAACTCCAAACTGAGAAATTACTGAACTGATTTGATAACTTTTTATTGAGGGAGGATAAGATTTCTAAAAGATCAACCGATAAAACCCACTAGGCACCCTGGATTTGCTGGAGCCTACAGTTCCTAGAAGTGTGTATTATTCTAATCTAGTGCCCCAGCCCCAAATGACCCCCACACGTGAGAAGGAAACAAAAACAGGACAAACACCAGTGATCTTGCAGCCAGTCCAGAGGACCTGGTGGAGACGCAGAGGGCATGAGGCTGACCCCGAGCTCACTCGGCCCCCGTGAGCTTCCATCGCTCCTTTGTGAAGAGAACCCTCTCCAGAACTCGTGTCAGGGTCAAATGTTTGTAAAAACGACTACCACAGTTTCTGGCATTTACTTGGCAAGCATGAAACCATGAAATATTATTTTATTCCTTCTTTACTGTATGCATTTGCCACCCAGGATAAACACACTAACCAAAAAAAGCATTAACTTGAAAGGTGTTCATGCCACCCCCCCATGTCCATAGCAGCACTGTTTACAACAGCCAAGATATGAAAGCAGCCCAAGTGCCCATCAACCGAAGAATGGATAAAGAAATCACAAGATATATAGTTATGCATATAGACATTATTCAGTCACCAAAGGAATGAAATCTTGCTATTTGAGAAAACATGAATGGACCTCTTGGGCATTATGCTGAGAAAAATAAGTCAGACAGTCTGAAAAAAACAAACTCTGTACAATCTCTCTTTTATGTAAAATATAGTAATAATAACAAGCTCATAGATCAGAGAACAGATTGGTGGTTGCCAGAGGTTGGGGTGGGTGGTGGGAGCTATGGGTCAAGAGTGTCCAAAAGCTTAACAAAGTAGGACAGAGCCTTTGACATTATGCACACCCCAAATTCTGTTTATCTAAAATCCTTAATTAAGAGCACATGGAGAGAGGCTTCTTTGGCAGTTCAAGGGTAAAGAATCTGCCTGCCAGTGCAGGAGACAGAGGTTTGATTCCTGGCCCAGGAAGACCCCACATGCCCTGAAGCCACAACTACTGAGGCTGCGCTCCACTAGAGAGGCCACCGCAGTGAGCAGCCCACGCACCTGAGAGCGGCCCCTGCTCACTGCAGCTGGAGAAAAAGCCCACACAGCGATGAAGACCCAGTGCAGCCATAAAGATGCAAAAAGTTCACCCTTTCTGCCTCTGCTGCCACCAAGGCGCCGGTGAAAAAGCTTGTGACAAAAAAGAAGCCGGTCCTGCAGTGCACTCCAGACAAGGCCCATCCCGCAGAAGGTGCCAGTCACGGATGCCACCGAAACTGAGCCATTTCCTCAGGAGAGGATCAAGGTGAATGGAAACGGCTGCAATCTGGGCAGCGGTGTCACAACAGTCAGAAAGAAGCCAAAGCAAGGTCACTGTAACTTCTGGGGTCCTTTTCCAAAAGATATTTGAAATATCTTACAAAAAGTATCTGAAAAATATAATCTACGTGATTACGCATAGTTGCTAACAGCAAAGAAGCTCATAAACTGCATTACTTCCAGATTAATCAAGATAAAGAAGAGGAGGAAAATGAGAATTAAAACTCAATCTAGAATATTTGTATAAGTTCTTAAATAAAATTTATCAACCCCCAAAAAAATTTTTTAAAAGAACACATGATGGGCAAGTGGTACTTTAAGATATTTCCCCACTTCAAGAACTTTATAATCTTGGGGTGTGTGTGTGTGTGTGTGTGTGTGTGTGTGTGTGCTGGAAATAAATGAACGATGAAACATTAGGGGATGCAGTTGTTAATATTATTTCAATTCTTACACGAGAATATTGAACTAGGAACAGGGTGACATTTTTACATAGCTGACTGAATTTAATTATGAAATATTCTTGTATTATCATTCAGTGTGTTATATGAGAGCCTACTACTTACCAAGCATTCAGCATCCAACAGGGATTTATTATTTTAGGCTTATAATTAAAGGTGAAAGAGAACACAATAGGTTCTATTTAAAGGTTTTAGCCATTTAAGACAATGGGAAAAAATTCAGCATGGCTTTTTAAAAATTTATTTTTAATTGAAGGATTTTTACAATATTGTGTTGGTTTCTGCCATACATCAACATGGATAAGTCATAGGTATACATACATCCCCTCCCTCTTGAGCTTCCCTCCCACCTTCCACCCCATCCCCCTCTGCTTATTTTAAGCCACAGGATTCCATCAACGTGTTGACTGAGGTGGCCCTTCTGCCTGCCAATAAGTTTCAGGAATATCTTCTGATCATGCGGGCTATCCCTTCGGGGTTGTGTGCCTGATTACTCCTTAACTATATCATGCAAGTAAAAACTGTAAGAGTTCAACTCCTAGTATTTCACATGAGACTTTGCTTTGCACTGTGTGGTCCCCCTGACACGCAGTGTGCAAGGCAGGGTAAGCAGACACGCTCCAGGGCAGGACATGACAGAGAGCCTTCATTCTCTCCTCCTCCGGGTCCTAATGCGTCCGCAGCAGAGAAAGCAGCCCTGGTCTACCCTTCCCCTGAGAGACCTGGACGACTAGGTCCCACTGCCGCAGTCTCTATCCAAGGGCAGTTCCCAGCACAGACTTTCAGGGAGGGATGAGGGAAATAATAGGAAAAAGAAAACTTCTGGGATGTGGCTGACTTCCTAAAGGCCCAGCATCTTCCAACACCAAAAAGCCAGAAGGTTCAAAGTGCAATCGTGGAAGTACCAATCTAGTATAAAAGTACTTTGACCCATTTTAGAAAGATTTTTAACAATACAATTGACATAGCAAAAGATCATCTGATTATTTAGATATTTCTCCAAAGAATATGGACAAATGGCTAAGAAACCCATGAAAAGATGCTCAATACTATTAGGGGAATGCAAGTCAAAACCACAATGAGAACTCACTCCACACCCACCGGGAGACTAAAATCAAAACACAGAAGACAAGAGTTGAGGCGGGCTGTGGTGACAGGACGTGAACTTGTGCAGCCAACCTGGGAAACGGTCTGGCCTCTAAAGCTAAGTACATACTTACCAAAGCACCTAATAATTCCACTCTGTGGTGCATACCCAAGAGAATTAAGGACACATGTCCACACAAAGAGTTGTACAAGAATATTCCATCAACTGATGAACAAATGCACAAAATAGGATAGGACCGTACTACAGAATACTATGCAGCCACGAAAAGGAACAGGGACTTCCCCGGTGGCTCAGACAGTGAAGAATTTGCCTGCAATGCAGGAGACCTGGGAGTAAAGTTCTATACACGCTGCATTGCAGATAAACCGTTGAGACATTCTGCTTGGTGAAGGAGGCCCGATACAAATGGCCACATAGTGCATGATTCCATTTCTATGAAGTGCCCAGACTGGCCAGTCCGCAGAGACATGAAGTAGGCTAGTGGGTGCCAAGGGCTGGGGAGGAGAACTGGGAGCCATAGCTGCTTGTGGCCTTTTGGGTGGGAATGATGAAAGTTTCCTAAACTTGGATTTGGGGACAACCGCTCAATGTAGAATATACCAAAACCACTGAAAACACACCTTGAAACGGTGAATTTTATGTTATACAATTATGTCTGAATAACGCTGGTATTTTTTTAAAGAGGGCCAGGAGGATCCCCTGGAGGAAGGCATGGCAACCGACTCCAATATTCTTTTCTTGCCTGGAGAATCCCCATGGACAGAAGAGCCTGGCTGGCTGCAGTCCATATAGTCACACAGAGTCAGATATGACTGAAGCGACTTAGCATGCACACAAGGCTGTTATTTTTTAAGGTTATATAATTAATTCTAAATAAAGTAGAACTGTCAACGAATTTAAATACTTCATTTCCCATGTGTTCTAGAAAACTGATATTTTACCATCTTTACCTAAGAAAAGTGTTTGTTTCCAATATGTATTTTTGATCCTATGGGAACTGAAGCTGAAGTTCAGCAAGGCC